AATTTTTTTAGCCCACGATGAGCCGACAACTTGGATCCCTACACCGCTCAAATTCCCACCCAACCAACCTCACCACCCCAATTACAATCATTCCACTTTTTGCTTTCCCGCCACCCGATTTCCCAACCAATAATGTAACATCAGGCATGAATTCAGATACTAATTCACAGATCTCAGTTTTATACTCCACTTCACAACTCAATAACCCAAATATTGAAACCCCTGATGAATTTGCAGACTCTGAACCATCTCCATCCAATAATTTTCAAACCAATCCCTTAGTTTTTTCCAAACCCCCTTTTCAACCAATCCCACCAAATAACCCTGTCCCAACCCTTTCGACACCCTCTTATGCTTCCCAAGTCACCCCAACCTACTCTTCACTTCATTCAGACCGATCATCCAAATCTCCAGACACCCCCCAAATCTCCCCAGAACTAGATAATTTTATCACCCTACAACAACAACCCTTCCACCTTGACACCTCCACTATAAACCAGATTTCATCCACAATAGAATCATCCAACCCACCTACTCCTACACCCTCTTCAGCTTATACCGCATCATTAGCACCATCATCCACATCCACCGAATCTTCAATTAGCACTAATAGAGCTTATCGCACTTTCAAAAGAAAATTCCCAAACCATCCATTCCCAACAAAACCAGGAACAGCCCGTGAATATATAAATCATCCAAATCACACTAACACGAAAGAATTTTTAGCTATCACCTTACCCTCATTTCCACAGTATACTTTGAACACCCCTAACGACACTAACGACACACGTAGTTTGGTAGATGAACACGTTTTAATGCCTACCCTTCCTTGGACATCATATTATCATTTTACTAACCCCCTTTGCCTACCTTTATCTAATACTCACATCGATTTAGAACGAAATAAACATATGCTATATCGACTCACGACACCACTAACACATAGACAATCTACTTATATAGGATATAAAAAGTCACTAAAAACATACACTGCACCCCGAGCTAACGAATATACGCTAGAATATTACGATCATAACATCATCCGAACTAATCAAGACCAATTTTTAGATGATGATCGCTTCGCTAACCCACAAATCACAGAAAAACTTGTCATTAAAACACCATATGTATTTACACTCAATATATTTGATTGCAAATTTGACCACATCATTTCAGAAGCACTAACCGACACACAAGCTTACGAAAGTTTTAAAGAACGCTTTCAATTATTTTCACTAACCTTTCATTTCCTTGCACCACTTGAACGAGATTTGCACTGCTCACACGATATTATGTTACGCACTAAACAAACTCACACATATACATATTATCGCATTATACAAAATCACTTTGATCTACACACTCCATCAAGACAACCACACCACCGTTTTCCATTTATTAATTCTAAATACACTTCACCATTTTTTCTTAACTTCACATATTGCATCAAAGATACTAACCTTCATGGTATTCTTCGCAATTACGACCCCATAACCCAAATGTATATTTTTTGTCCCATCACGAAGACCTTCAACGCAGAAGAATCCAGACCCTTCCTTATCCCACATGAATTTGTTCAACCTATAGAAATCCCGATCTTAGAATTCATCCACAACACTAAATACAATCACAAATTATATAATCTCATCCAAAACACACCTTATGAGTTTGCAGTTGGCACTGAAGAACTAACAACCATTAAAGCACTTCAATTGCTTTGGCCACTGCTTCAAACTAAAAACATCATCCGCATAATAGCAAAACTACTAACAACAGGTAAGTATGATTTATACATATTATTAACTAACAAATTCAAAATAAAAAACTAACCATTCTTTATCCATGTCTTATGTAGAATTTTAGTCTTCATCCAACGATCATCTGCAAAATACACAAAAGAAAAATAAAAAATAGAAAACTTCTTCAAACTGTTTAAAACTTTATTAATCTTTTGCACCAAACAAGTTAAATAAAATTCATACCAATGCAGTAATTTAATTTATAAATTGTTTCCCCACAAGCAGTAAATCTAATAATGATGAAAATTTGTAACTTAATTTTTCCCAACAACTAGCAGTAAAATTGAAATTTTATGTAGTAAATTGATAAAACGAAAATGCAGTACTAACCTTTTGATATTTTCATTCACTCGCACAAGATTTCTATCCAAACTCGCACAGCTCGCCCACGAAGAATTGTTTAAATAATGATTTTGAGTTTCAAGTTTTAACACTCAACAACTCTAACACGCGATAACAAGTTTCAAACTTTCCTTTAACCCGGTTGGAAAGGAATTATATACTAAACCAAACTAACCAACGCAGCTTACTAAACACCACAAATCATAAAATAACAGCATGACTAAGAAAAGAAAACCAACGGTACCCAAACCGGATTAACCCAGTTTAAAACTGGATAATTTATTCTTTTAAAGACTATTATAAAGTCTAAGAAAGAAATAATAAAACACAAAAAAGTCGCAAGACAAACCCATACGAAAAACAATTTGATTTTTGAAAAAAGGACACAACCAACGAAACATAAGAAAACCCACAATAAACCCAACATAAAACGTTATCACATAACAGGACCTCTCACAGAAACCGCACGAAATCATACTCCCACTCCTGGCCTAACCCACCAGAAGAGGACGTCCTGAGCATGCTCTATAGCCGGCCCAACCCACCGCGCTACATCCACGCTTTGTGACCACACTCCTATTTTTAATAAGAGGTACTCAAGGGTGAGTAACTCTTCAAAATAACCGAACTAAAACAAAAAGCTTTTGTGAAAACAACTAATCAAAATCATAATTAAAACACCAAACTAATAAAAGTTTTATAAAATGTAAGTTACACTATGCAATATATAGATCAGCATACAACACCAAAGACGAACATCCAAAGACAAATTGACCCCACTATACTCGAAAAAGAATGGCCAACCACAATCAATATGCCGCTCACAATCACAACTCAAAGGATTTAGAGTACGACTTGACTTCGCAGAAAAGGACTTCATTGAACTAGACCAATGACCACCTCGATGTTCAAGTATACGTACAGATCCGAGTAACCAGGCATCCCCTCCACGCACAATCTCCACGCCATTCCCAGACAAGGTCAAACACAAAAGAAGTTCTCTACATCAAACAGAAAAACCTGTCATAGCCAACCATTCTGAAATCAGATTTGAGTTTGTTGCAAAGACCCAGTCGTCGTCATTTAAAGATACAACGATTGGACCTGGATTTTCTCTAACAAGAGAACCCAGAAGAAATATGATGTTCACCAAATACCAACGACCATCATATATCCTTCGAATTGCAGAAAGACTATTCTAAAAAACTCTGTAAAACCCGGATGGGTGGAACCTGATCTAAACTACATTTTATGATTGGATAAATTAGATATTTAACCACTGTAAAGTATTTAATATTAACCAATCATGATCCATCTAACTAACAACCCACTTATTTGTAAGTGCTGAAATTACTTGTAATTTCAGCACCAGAGAGATTTGAATTTAACTTAGAATTTAGTTGACTCTCCAAGAAGACTTCAGCAGTCGCAATAAACCAGTATACCCTAGATCTATTGAGCCTAGCAGAGACTAGTTAAACAACCTGAGACTAGATAGTATAAGAGTAAGATTAGGATCGGTATTAGACTAAGAAGTTGCACGAATCTATCCGGCCGAAAATAAGATAGCGTGACGAGCAGACGGTGTACCCTATCCGAAATTACTCTATGAGTTATCCACTTCGGTCCTAACTCAATTACCCGAACTGAGAAAATAATGCTTTTTTCCGAACAGAAATGGAACTTACTGTTCCGGAACGTGGTGAAGAAACCTGTGCGCTTGACTATTTAGTTTTTTTTCGGCACGTGACTTTTCAGAAACTAGTTCGATTTTCGCTTAGTTACTCTTTTTTTCAAAAAGCATTGCCCATTTTATCTCAGGGATTTGTTTTACTAGTCAATTTTTGACTTTTTTTTCCCTAGCTTAAGAAGCAAGTCACAATCGAAAAACCCGAGGCGAATCGAAGAATTTTTTAAAACGATTTTATGCGGCGGAATTTTTCAACAATAAAAACCCGCGGTTGTTTGTTTAAAGTGGATTGAACTCGAGTGCTCCCGCACGCTCGTCCGAAAAGATGGCGGATTACCCCGACCACCCAGTTTTAATTTGAAAACTTTCCTTCGCCGACCATTGGAACACACAGATTGCATGACTTGGTGTTCAATGCAGTTGTTTTATTAGAAAACTTTTTATCCAACTCTCCAACCCCGATTCCGTTTTAATTTCAAAAAACTAGTTTCTTTTTTGAGAACTCAATAAAACTTGACATCTTGAGCGCGCCAACAATTGTGCACAAAAATTTTAATCACCACCTTAAATCGTAATGTTATGCCGTTAGCCATGATAAAAATTAAAACAACTATAAAAAGTGAAATTGTGAAAGTGTGGGTTGAGTAAAAAAAACCAAATTTTTAAAATATTTCTTGCCGTGTGCACAATTTTTAGACAGCTTTAAAATTTTAGTGTGAACTCCATAGCTTCTTGGAAAGTCGGAACAAAATCTCAGTCTTTTTATAGAACGACCATAAATTTATTATTCTCTTTGTTTTATACGAAGGAAAAAATGCGAAATTTGCTCATCATAAGTTATCTGCTTTTCATGAACTCGAGTTGGCTCTGAAGTAATTTTTTTGTAGTCGAGTTATTTGATTTCTTCTTTTTGGAAAAGCTCTGTTCTACAACGGATTTTCTTCTATCGTCTTTTTCAAATTTCTCTAAATACGTTCAAGCTCTTTCTCTTGAGTTTTTATTTGTTCTCACATCTGAATCTGAAAAGAAGTTGGCATCTAGCTGGCTCTGCCCATCATAACTCTCATCGTCTGATTTGGCTCCATCAGTATTGTGACCCCGACTTTCATAAGGAGGTGAAAATTTCCACCCATAAGTCGGTGGCGATGAGTACTCCGTCTGAGACTGACTGGCCCTCCTTTGCTCATTCTCTTCATGGCTTCTCGAACGTCCTTGACCCCGTTGACCTTGAGACGTTCCCTCTTCTTGATAACTTCGTCGTGTGTTATCCTGTCTCGATGAGCTACCTTGTGGAGGTCCTTGATATTGTCCTTGTGGGTTACCCGAGTACCCTTGACGAGGTGGTAGGGGAGGGTAATGACCTCCACCTGGCTGTGGGTACCCTTGAATTGGCTCTTTTTCACTTCCGCTTCTTTTAAAGTTTCAAATTTTCTATTTTTTTTACAAACTACTATCGCTAAACAATCAATGTTACGATGTAAGGTATGAAGAACAAAGCTGTTCATGATTGTAAGTTTGTTCACCATGCCAAGTTCGGCTCTTTTCCAGTCCCCCTCCCCCTCAAATTCATTTTTGAAAAGCTTATTTAACGTTGTCATAATGCAATGAAATTTGGCGTGGTGAACAAATCGACAATTTTGAACAGATTTGATCTTCATATTTTACATCGTAACATCACGCATTTAGCCAAAAACAAACACAACACTCGATATTTTGAAAGATGGGGGGGAGTGGAAGAGCCCCAAGTTCTTTTGCATTATGATTATGACAATGTTAAAGTAGTTTTCAAAAGTGAAATCCAAAGATGGGCCCTTTTTCCTCCAGAGCCCCCCCCCCCCTCCAGTTGCAAAATTTTACTAGTCTGAATGTTAGTTACATGCGAACTAAGTAGCTTATGACAAACTTATTTGGTCTTAGTTTTAACACTCAACAACTCTAACACGCGATAACAAGTTTCAAACTTTCCTTTAACCCGGTTGGAAAGGAATTATATACTAAACCAAACTAACCAACGCAGCTTACTAAACACCACAAATTATAAAATAACAGCATGACTAAGAAAAGAAAACCAACGGTACCCAAACCGGATTAACCCAGTTTAAAACTGGATAATTTATTCTTTTAAAGACTATTATAAAGTCTAAGAAAGAAATAATAAAACACAAAAAAGTCGCAAGACAAATCCATACGAAAAACAATTTGATTTTTGAAAAAAGGACACAACCAACGAAACATAAGAAAACCCACAATAAACCCAACATAAAACGTTATCACATAACAGGACCTCTCACAGAAACCGCACGAAATCATACTCCCACTCCTGGCCTAACCCACCAGAAGAGGACGTCCTGAGCATGCTCTATAGCCGGCCCAACCCACCGCGCTACATCCACGCTTTGTGTAATTTCAGCACCAGAGAGATTTGAATTTAACTTAGAATTTAGTTGACTCTCCAAGAAGACTTCAGCAGCCGCAATAAACCAGTATACCCTAGATCTATTGAGCCTAGCAGAGACTAGTTAAACAACCTGAGACTAGATAGTATAAGAGTAAGATTAGGATCGGTATTAGACTAAGAAGTTGCACGAATCTATCCGCCCGAAAATAAGATAGCGTGACGAGCAGACGGTGTACCCTATCCGAAATTACTCTATGAGTTATCCACTTCGGTCCTAACTCAATTACCCGAACTGAGAAAATAATGCTTTTTTCCGAACAGAAATGGAACTTACTGTTCCGGAACGTGGTGAAGAAACCTGTGCGCTTGACTATTTAGTTTTTTTTCGGCACGTGACTTTTCAGAAACTAGTTCGATTTTCGCTTAGTTACTCTTTTTTTCAAAAAGCATTGCCCATTTTATCTCAGGGATTTGTTTTACTAGTCAATTTTTGACTTTTTTTCCCTAGCTTAAGAAGCAAGTCACAATCGAAAAACCCGAGGCGAATCGAAGAATTTTTTAAAACGATTTTATGCGGCGGAATTTTTCAACAATAAAAACCCGCGGTTGTTTGTTTAAAGTGGATTGAACTCGAGTGCTCCCGCACGCTCGTCCGAAAAGATGGCGGATAACCCCGACCACCAAGTTTTAATTTGAAAACTTTCCTTCGCCGACCATTGGAACACACAGATTGCATGACTTGGTGTTCAATGCAGTTGTTTTATTAGAAAACTTTTTATCCAACTCTCCAACCCCGATTCCGTTTTAATTTCAAAAAACTAGTTTCTTTTTTGAGAACTCAATAAAACTTGACATCTTGAGCGCGCCAACAATTGTGCACAAAAATTTTAATCACCACCTTAAATCGCAATGTTATGCCGTTAGCCATGATAAAAATTAAAACAACTATAAAAAGTGAAATTGTGAAAGTGTGGGTTGAGTAAAAAAAACCAAATTTTTAAAATATTTCTTGCCGTGTGCACAATTTTTAGACAGCTTTAAAATTTTAGTGTGAACTCCATAGCTTCTTGGAAAGTCGGAACAAAATCTCAGTCTTTTTATAGAACGACCATAAATTTATTATTCTCTTTGTTTTATACGAAGGAAAAAATGCGAAATTTGCTCATCATAAGTTATCTGCTTTTCATGAACTCGAGTTGGCTCTGAAGTAATTTTTTTGTAGTCGAGTTATTTGATTTCTTCTTTTTGGAAAAGCTCTGTTCTACAACGGATTTTCTTCTATCGTCTTTTTCAAATTTCTCTAAATACGTTCAAGCTCTTTCTCTTGAGTTTTTATTTGTTCTCACATCTGAATCTGAAAAGAAGTTGGCATCTAGCTGGCTCTGCCCGTCATAACTCTCATCGTCTGATTTGGCTCCATCAGTATTGTGACCCCGACTTTCATAAGGAGGTGAAAATTTCCACCCATAAGTCGGTGGCGATGAGTACTCCGTCTGAGACTGACTGGCCCTCCTTTGCTCATTCTCTTCATGGCTTCTCGAACGTCCTTGACCCCGTTGACCTTGAGACGTTCCCTCTTCTTGATAACTTCGTCGCGTGTTATCCTGTCTCGATGAGCTACCTTGTGGAGGTCCTTGATATTGTCCTTGTGGATTACCCGAGTACCCTTGACGAGGTGGTAGGGGAGGGTAATGACCTCCACCTGGCTGTGGGTACCCTTGAATTGGCTCTTTTTCACTTCCGCTTCTTTTAAAGTTTCAAATTTTCTATTTTTTTTACAAACTACTATCGCTAAACAATCAATGTTACGATGTAAGGTATGAAGAACAAAGCTGTTCATGATTGTAAGTTTGTTCACCATGCCAAGTTCGGCTCTTTTCCAGTCCCCCTCCCCCTCAAATTCATTTTTGAAAAGCTTATTTAACGTTGTCATAATGCAATGAAATTTGGCGTGGTGAACAAATCGACAATTTTGAACAGATTTGATCTTCATATTTTACATCGTAACATCACGCATTTAGCCAAAAACAAACACAACACTCGATATTTTGAAAGATGGGGGGGAGTGGAAGAGCCCCAAGTTCTTTTGCATTATGATTATGACAATGTTAAAGTAGTTTTCAAAAGTGAAATCCAAAGATGGGCCCTTTTTCCTCCAGAGCCCCCCCCCCTCCAGTTGCAAAATTTTACTAGTCTGAATGTTAGTTACATGCGAACTAAGTAGCTTATGACAAACTTATTTGGTCTTAGTTTTAACACTCAACAACTCTAACACGCGATAACAAGTTTCAAACTTTCCTTTAACCCGGTTGGAAAGGAATTATATACTAAACCAAACTAACCAACGCAGCTTACTAAACACCACAAATTATAAAATAACAGCATGACTAAGAAAAGAAAACCAACGGTACCCAAACCGGATTAACCCAGTTTAAAACTGGATAATTTATTCTTTTAAAGACTATTATAAAGTCTAAGAAAGAAATAATAAAACACAAAAAAGTCGCAAGACAAACCCATACGAAAAACAATTTGATTTTTGAAAAAAGGACACAACCAACGAAACATAAGAAAACCCACAATAAACCCAACATAAAACGTTATCACATAACAGGACCTCTCACAGAAACCGCACGAAATCATACTCCCACTCCTGGCCTAACCCACCAGAAGAGGACGTCCTGAGCATGCTCTATAGCCGGCCCAACCCACCGCGCTACATCCACGCTTTGTGACCACACTCCTATTTTTAATAAGAGGTACTCAAGGGTGAGTAACTCTTCAAAATAACCGAACTAAAACAAAAAGCTTTTGTGAAAACAACTAATCAAAATCATAATTAAAACACCAAACTAATAAAAATTTTATAAAATGTAAGTTACACTATGCAATATATAGATCAGCATACAACACCAAAGACGAACATCCAAAGACAAATTGACCCCACTATACTCGAAAAAGAATGGCCAACCACAATCAATATGCCGCTCACAATCACAACTCAAAGGATTTAGAGTACGACTTGACTTCGCAGAAAAGGACTTCATTGAACTAGACCAATGACCACCTCGATGTTCAAGTATACGTACAGATCCGAGTAACCAGGCATCCCCTCCACGCACAATCTCCACGCCATTCCCAGACAAGGTCAAACACAAAAGAAGTTCTCTACATCAAACAGAAAAACCTGTCATAGCCAACCATTCTGAAATCAGATTTGAGTTTGTTGCAAAGACCCAGTCGTCGTCATTTAAAGATACAACGATTGGACCTGGATTTTCTCTAACAAGAGAACCCAGAAGAAATATGATGTTCGCCAAATACCAACGTCCATCATCCATCCTTCGAATTGCAGAAAGACTATTCTAAAAAACTCTGTAAAACCCGGATGGGTGGAACCTGATCTAAACTACATTTTATGATTGGATAAATTAGATACTTAACCACTGTAAAGTATTTAATATTAACCAATCATGATCCATCTAACTAACAACCCACTAATTTGTAAGTGCTGAAATTATTTGTAATTTCAGCACCAGAGAGATTTGAATTTAACTTAGAATTTAGTTGACTCTCCAAGAAGACTTCAGCAGCCGCAATAAACCAGTATACCCTAGATCTATTGAGCCTAGCAGAGACTAGTTAAACAACCTGAGACTAGATAGTATAAGAGTAAGATTAGGATCGGTATTAGACTAAGAAGTTGCACGAATCTATCCGGCCGAAAATAAGATAGCGTGACGAGCAGACGGTGTACCCTATCCGAAATTACTCTATGAGTTAACCACTTCGGTCCTAACTCAATTACCCGAACTGAGAAAATAATGCTTTTTTCCGAACAGAAATGGAACTTACTGTTCCGGAACTTGGTGAAGAAACCTGTGCGCTTGACTATTTAGTTTTTTTTCGGCACGTGGTATCACAGCCTCTCTCATGTTGACTTTGGCCGCAGTTAAAATTATACAATTGAAAAGTTTCATTATTCAACTCTTCCTCTATTTAATTTTCAGCTTTTCCCCGAAAAAAAATTGGGAATTATTCCAGGAATTTGTGCAAAAAGTAGAGGAAAATCGTTTCTCAATTTTTCGAGATCATCGTTTTTCGTATCAAATGCATTACCTTAAAAACTCGTGGTTGCTTGTTAAAAGCGAAGTGAATCGCGCGATAACCTCCCACTTGCTTGTATGTTTTGTCATACCATTCTACTGAGTTTTCATCGGGAAACTTCATCAACTGTTCAGCAGTTTTTAGTCTAATCAATTGAGTCAAACACGTCAAAGAGAAGAAAAATCGTGTAAGATTATGAGCGCTCCCAAATCACTAAAAAGACCCTATATTGACCAAATTGTCGGCGCCGCAATCATTTTTTTTTCAAAAAACAGGCCAAAAAGGGCGTTTTTATGCACTTTTTAAAAAGTTTCGACCAAAAAAAACGCGTTTTTCCTGCGTGCTCCCCCCCCCCCTTCTCCCCCATTTGAGAAAAATTTAAGGTCAGTCATCCAAAAGTGGCAAAAAGATCAGTCATCTCAAAATAGTACAAAAAGGGGACCTTTTGGGTCGACAGGGAGTCGAATCCCTGAAAGATGGAGTGTGCCCCCCCCCCCCTAAATCCGCTACTGATACCGAGCGACCTCAAATTTTTATTTATTGGAATCAATTAACCGAAAAAACGACAGCGGTGAAAGTTGCATAAATGATATTTTTTTGAACAAGAGATTTAAATGTTTTGTACCGCACAATAGGAAACAAGTGTTAAGTAAACAAAAAGATTAAAATTTTCCCTTCAGCTAGAATTTCGAACCTGCACACTTAACCTGGGAAGGTGTGCTAGATACAGTAGAGCAAAGCTTTTTTGATAAGAAATTAGAATTTTTTTTCACTTTTTAAGGGAACTGAGAAAAGCAAAAATGAAAACACTTCCCGGCTCCAATCAATTTTTGAACCCAATTGTTCACGGGAACTGTTCGCGGGAAGTGATAAAAACACAGAAAAAAACTGAATCTAATGATCCGGCGGGTGGGATCCCAACATATACGTTGAGCTAAAAAATTAATTAAATTAAAACTACCAAAAATTTTCAGAAACTAGTTCGATTTTCGCTTAGTTACTCTTTTTTTCAAAAAGCATTGCCCATTTTATCTCAGGGATTTGTTTTACTAGTCAATTTTTGACTTTTTTTCCCTAGCTTAAGAAGCAAGTCACAATCGAAAAACCCGAGGCGAATCGAAGAATTTTTTAAAACGATTTTATGCGGCGGAATTTTTCAACAATAAAAACCCGCGGTTGTTTGTTTAAAGTGGATTGAACTCGAGTGCTCCCGCACGCTCGTCCGAAAAGATGGCGGATAACCCCGACCACCAAGTTTTAATTTTAAAACTTTCCTTCGCCGACCATTGGAACACACAGATTGCATGACTTGGTGTTCAATGCAGTTGTTTTATTAGAAAACTTTTTATCCAACTCTCCAACCCCGATTCCGTTTTAATTTCAAAAAACTAGTTTCTTTTTTGAGAACTCAATAAAACTTGACATCTTGAGCGCGCCAACAATTGTGCACAAAAATTTTAATCACCACCTTAAATCGCAATGTTATGACGTTAGCTATGATAAAAGTTAAAACAACTATAAAAAGTGAAATTGTGAAAGTGTGGGTTGAGTAAAAAAACCAAATTTTTAAAACATTTCTTGCCGTGTGCACAATTTTTAGACAGCTTTAAAATTTTAGTGTGAACTCCATAGCTTCTTGGAAAGTCGGAACAAAATCTCAGTCTTTTTATAGAACGACCATAAATTTATTATTCTCTTTGTTTTATACGAAGGAAAAAATGCGAAATTTGCTCATCATAAGTTATCTGCTTTTCAAGAACTCGAGTTGGCTCTGAACTAATTTTTTTGTAGTCGAGTTATTTGATTTCTTCTTTTTGGAAAAGCTCTGTTCTACAACAGATTTTCTTCTATCGTCTTTTTCAAATTTCTCTAAATACGTTCCAGCTCTTTCTCTTGAGTTTTTATTTGTTCTCACATCTGAATCTGAAAAGTAGTTGGCATCTAGCTGGCTCTGCCCATCATAACTCTCATCGTCTGATTTGGCTCCAACAGTATTGTGCGCCCGACTTTCATAAGGAGGTGGAAATTTCCACCCATAAGTCGGCGGTGATGAATACTCCGTCTGCGACTGACTGGCCCTCCTTTGCTCATTCTCTTCATGGCTTCTCGAACGTCCTTGACCCCGTTGACCTTGAGGCGTTCCCTCTTCTTGATAACTTCGTCGCGTGTTATTCTGTCTCGATGAGCTGCATTGCGGGGGTCCTTGATATTGTCCTTGTGGATTACCCGAGTAACCTTGACGAGGTGGTAGGGGAGGGTAATGACCTCCACCTGGCTGTGAGTACCCTTGAATTGGCCCTTTTTCACTTCCGCTTCTTTTAAAATTTCTAATTTTCTATTTTTTTTTTACAAACTACTATCGCTAAACAATCAATGTTACGATGTAAGGTATGAAGAACAATGCTGTTCACGATTGTAAGTTTGTTCACCATGCCAAGTTCGGCTCTTTTCCAGTCCCCCCCCCCTCAAATTCAATTTTGAAAAGCTTATTTAACGTTGTCATAATGCAATGAAATTTGGCGTGGTGAACAAATCGACAATTTTGAACAGATTTGATCTTCATACTTTACAGCGTAACATCACGCATTTAGCCAAAAACAAACATAACACTCGATATTTTGAAAGATGGGGGGAGTGGAAGAGCCCCAAGTTCTATTGCATTATGATTATGACAATGTTAAAGTAGTTTTCAAAAGTGAAATCCAAAGATGGGCCCTTTTTCCTCCAGAGCCCCCCCCCCCTCCAGTTGCAAAATTTTACTAGTCTGAATGTTAGTTACATGCGAACTAAGTAGCTTATGACAAACTTATTTGGTCTTCATTGTTTAAAATTGTAAAACCCCTCGATACACCATAAAATTGATGCTTATGTGAGGTGAAGGGAAAAGGAAAAAGAGTCCAAAGGTGTGGGTGGTATTGGAAAAGAGTCGACCTCCTGCAGGTGGTGGGTAGCCTTGAACTTGACCGGGAGGAGGATATTGCCCTGGAGGTTGACTGTTGTAGTGATAATGGTACTGTGTCTGTGGTGGGTAATTCGGGTATGTCTGAGGCGATGGAACGTTTGTATAAACTACTTGGGGTCGCTGATTGTTTTGCGCGGCTCTACCGAGCATGTAGCCCATAAGAAGGGCGCCGCCGCCACCGTAACGAGGGTAACCCCAACCATGACAGCCATAACCCCAGGGGCTAGGTCCATAGCTATGATTAGGGCGGAGACTGCGATGAGAATCATGGGGATTGCCAAAATCAACATTGCTCATGGCCTGTTTATGTTTTTCCTAGTTGTAATATAGGCTCTTTTTCAGTTCCTTGATTTCTTTTAAAGTTATGAATGATTTTTCAAGTTTTGCAAGTTGTTAGGTCTGTGATTTCTAAGAAAACTGTAAATCAGTTTTTGCTACAGCCCCCATCCCCCTCACTCCGTGGCTGAAGCTTACAACATTGCACAAAAAAATGGTCGAAAAAGGTAACTGAAAAAGAGCCTTAGGTTTTTGTAGTTTTTGTTCGGCTTAGCTTCTTTTGACTTTGTTAGCTCTTTCTGCTCGCAGTATGCATGATCAGTAAATTAGATAGAATCGAACTGATGTTAATAAACAGATCACGTGCCTGATTTGATTTAATGATAAACTTTTTCAAGTTATCCAGGCAATTAAGTTCAATAAATTCACCTTAAATTCATTTATAGGATGCCAAAGGATCATCAGAAATTCAGTAATAATAAACAAAATCATCAGCCAAAACTAAAGAATGGTACGAAGAATAAATTTGTTGTGCTTGAATTTGCAATTTATCATTAAATTTTCATGGTTGTTATACTGTTAAAAATCACAAATATTATCTTTGCTGTGATTACTTAAGTTACCTTACATGTTTTTTCATGTTGATTTTCTATGATTCAAAAATCAAAAGAGTTTCTGAAAGGTACAAAAACAAATATTCAACAGAACAGTATCATGTTATTTAGTATCAAGAAAAAGTTATATAACGTGAAGAAAAAAGGTTTAAAAGTTCGTCTTCTTACGTACAAAAGATAAAATTGTATAATCTTGGAGTTTGTCAAAAGCTTGATTTTACTAAAAGTTTTTTATCTCCCCTTGAAAAAATGAAACCGAAACAAAACAAAAGCAGAGTGACTATTTACTAAGTTTTATGAACAATAACACGCATTCCCTTCCGGTAGCTTTTATCATCATGAAAAACTATAAGACTTAGCGTAAAGACAGACGGTTTCTTTGCAGTTGTTCGAAATAATTCATTTAGAACACAAATTCTACATCAGGGACGAATTCTACTAAAGATTTCGGCACATTCTCCAAACATTTTTTAAATATTAACTCAACCCCTCGTGATTTTTTACTCAATTCACTGTAAGTTATTTATAATCTAGCCGTTTTTAATCAATCCAAACACACTGAACAGTGTTCAAAATTTTCTGCGGGAATTCTCGCGTATTGCATATTTTTTCGGCGCCAGTCGCTCAAAAAAATTTGCGTAATTGAACCCAATTCAACTAGTATCAACGCAAATAAATAAAATTTGTTATGTAAGTATACAAAAATAAGCCGGTTACTTTGCAAGTAGCACAGATTGTTCCGACCAATAATAAAAAAAAATACAATATATTTTTTTGGCGCGATATGATTAAATATTTTTTTAATTTCTCATTTTTTTCCTAACCTTTTGAAGTTTTTGATTTCTTCATTTGAGTGAAACAAAATTTTCAGGGCTTTAGTTAAGCATAAATAAGCAAATGTAAGCATGCTCGCTCGCTCGAAATAAGACGAAAAATCAAAAATTTCAAAACGGTTTTTCTCGAAACTGGGAAAAAATTTTTAAAATTTTTGAAAGTCGATCGAATAACGACTGAAAGGGTTTTTAAATGATATATATCGCTCAACTCAGTCTGATGATTGTTTGTGGTAGCTGAACTTGCGTGGAAAACAAAAAAAAATTGATAAAAACTAAAACCCATCGGAATACAAAGTTGCTCCCCATTTTCAATGGTCGCAACAATGACCGTTTTGAAAAACTATTCTAATTTTATTTATTTTATACGTTTCTAATACACTTCAAATTTCTAAAACACAATGAAATTTTTTTTTAAATAAGTAAATTCCGTTGGATATATAAAATAAAACAACAATCAAGAGGTCTGTTTCAAAATAATCTAAAGAAAATGATAAAGAAATATCTTATCAGCGCATCAAATCTTCCGCTCATGTTACCTTTGAAAGGTTTAGTGAATAGCCAAATATTCCAGAAAAAAAGAAATAAACTAAATTATCAACTGAAAGTTTTCAAAAGATCATTGATGTCGGTGAGGTTCTCCTTTTGCTGTTTTATGAGATAGTTTTACATTTCCAAAGTACAGTGCTGATTTAAATTAACCGGACAAAACGCGTTAAGCCTGAAATTTAAAACGCGTTTTTCTCAAATTGGGTTGAGTTTAGGTGAAAACTTATGAAGACAAAAATTGCTTAAAACTTTAGCAGAATTATCATAGTGTAATTTGTTTTGCCAAATTCGGGCCCAAAATTTTACCCCAAATATGGGTCATTTTGGCTTTTCTTATTTAACCAAAAATTACGCCAAAAATACCCAGTCGATCACAGACATAATTATATCAAAGTGAGCCGCTTACGTAGCCCAACAAACTGTAAGAAGAGCATAACCTCTAAAAAATTGTATAAAACATTTTATTTTTGTTTGATAGACAAAAAAGATAGTTTTTACTATATAAAGTACCAAATTTTCGTTTAAAAACAATTTTTAAACAAATTACAATTTTTTTGGAGAAAATACTTTTCCTAAAGTTTTTTGGGCTACGTAAGCGGCTCACTTTATAAAATTATGTCTGTGATCGATTGGGTATTTTTGGCGTAATTTTTGATTAAATAAGAACAGCCAAAATGACCCCAAATTTGGGGTAAAATTTTGGGCCCGAAATTGGCAAAACAAATTACACTATAAAAATTATGCTAAAGTTTTAAGCAATTTTTGTCTTCATAAATTTTCACCTAAACTCAACCCAATTTGAGAAAAACGGGTTTTAAATTTCAAGTTTAACGCGTTTTGTCCGGTTAATTTAAATCAGCACTGTAGTAAAGATTCGATTAGACTTAGATACATGTTTCAAACTTCCTACTCAGATGGAAGTTTTTACTTAGAAGTATTTCAAGTGACAGTCGTTTTGCTTAAATGATGCTATAAGTGGTTCCAGAATTCCTTTTTTATGTGGTACCAAAGATCGTGGGGTGGATTTGGGGGGGGGGGGGGGGGGCGGGGGTTTTGCTGAGGCCGCCCCCTCAGGGATTCGAACCCCTGCCAACCCAAAGTTTCCCCCCTTTGGTACTTTTTAAGAAATCCATTTTTGGCCGACCGACCCTAAAATTTTTATTTTAGTATATATACCCAAAATATACTAATTTTGAGAGGGAGCGCGCGCCAAAAAAACGCGTTTCTTTTGTCAAAATTTTCCAAAAAGTGCCCAAAAACGGCTTTTTTGACCTGTTTTTTCAAAAAAATTGCTTGCGGCGCAGAAGATTTGGCCAAAACAGGGTCTTTTTACTGCTTTGGGAGAGCTCGGAAAATCAATCTGATCAACCTAAAAAAAATGGTCGTCAAACATTCCGAACATTATCTGAAAATCCGCCCCCCCCTCGAGAAAATCCTAGATCCGCCCCGCATGTATATATAAATTTTACACGGCGGAAATTTAGTTATCTCCATGTTGGTGGAGAAAAGTTGTGTTTTTCACAATTAATTGTTATACAAGGGGACATCTGATAGGTAGCCGTACCTTCGTTTAAGGAAACTTGTGCTGAATATTCTACCAATAGCTCCATTCACCAGCTTTAGAGTTGATCCAGAAACAATGCCATAAACAGTCAGGATAGCCGGCTACTGTGCGAGTAACACAGAACGTTCGGCCATAGTCTTAACAAAACTACAACTTTTATCTATTCAAACAGTGTCGCAAAAATATAAACAAAAAAATGTAAATTAAGCATAATCGATAGATCGATAGCCAAGTAGGCCAATTGGAAACTATTCTTTGTAGAAAAAATCTTGAGGAAAAAATCGTAAACAAATCGTAAGAAAAAGTTGCACGAACTTTTTCAAAATTTTTTGAACACTTTGGTTTACAAAATGCTTTGAAACTTTCTGGGACTAAATCCCAAAAACCAAAGTGAATCTAAATTTTCACGGCTCAAATTAAACTTAAAAAAGCTATTGTAAGCCTGCACACTGACCTTATAAGGTGGAAATTAGAAAATTTCAAACCGGTTTTATTCGACTTGGGTCAACATTTCTAATTTTTTTAAATCCTGTCCAAATCAAGGCTTTGATTTGATAGCATTTTTTATCTTAGAGTATCTATTTGCGTTTAACTTTTTTTAGTTGAAGAACAAAATAAGACTGCTCTCTTAACTTTTTTGCCATAAAAAGACCAGAAATCAAAGTTTAAAACGGGTTTTTCTCGAAACTGAGAAAGTTTTTTCCAAGTTTCAATGTTGTTTGAATGACAACTGAAAATTTTTCATCATGATATAGAACTCAACCCATTCCGATGATTATTTGCCTATTT